TTTTGTATTGGAGAAGTTAGGTTTGCTCTGGTAGCTTTGGGAACTATATGGATCTAATTCTTGACTTTTTTCAAGAAACAACATAACCAAACGATTAAAAGCCATCCAAAATACTGGGAAAGGGTATGAGGCTCAGAACCTGTACATCATGCTGGACAGAATTGATCAATACCAGAAGAGGGTGATGCGGTTCTGGACAGACAAGCAGAAGGAACTAGAACAGAGACGGAAGCAGTGCCTGTGGTCCATGATGCAGGTATTCAGCCAGATCGAAAAGGTGTTTAAACTAAATCTTAGCCAGCCTGTGCCCTTGGTCTCTGGCTTTAAGCAGATACCCGATTTTACCAAAACTCGAAGTCCAGTCTTGGAGTTATTCACTGAAGACAACAAAAAGCCTGACATTTTCAAGACCTTTGGACAGCAGACTCAGGTGGAGTCCATCTGGAATGCTGACCTGTCCACTTCAAGCTATCCGATAATGGAGAAGACATCTTTGAATACGCTCTGGACACAGCTGGGAGGGTACCCGGATATTCCCCGGCTGCTGCAGTTAGATATTCAATGGACCTTCAGAAAAGCTCTTGCTTCCTTCCCTTCGGTCACAGTCTGAGAAGATTCCCAAGTGACTACAAAACTAAAGACCAGCCCGTAGAGAGCGAAAGCCTGTTTTCTGTCTTTCCTGGTTATAAATTGTTGTGTTCACTCTTAAAAAAATTTTTTTTGTATTGGTTATAAAGATCTGGATAAGAAGTTTTTCCTAAACTAGATTCTGAAAAAGAAATTAAATTTACATTGATTTTCTTACTGAGTAACCAAGGGACATAAAAAAATCAAGAGGATAAAAAAATATTTTATGTTAATCAAAATGCATTATTTGAAATACATTGGAGGAATCCAAATGCAATTGCGTTATGACATTTTCTTGATTCGTGGAGGCTGCCACGCATGAGCTTGCTGAGATGTATAAATAGTTTGATGCATAATTGTGGAGATGAGATCAAATCCCTCTAAGTGATGTTCCTCAACGTTTTTATTGTGTTATTGCTGGGGGCTTACTTTCAGGATTGCAATTGTTAGTTAAATAGGGGATTTTAGAAAAGATTACATGCAAGATCACAGGGGGTTTGGGCTGGCAAAATGGCTCCTCAGGTTAAGGCACTTATCTCTAATCATGAAGACCTGAGTTCAATTCCAGGGACCCACGTGGTTGAAGGGGAGAACCAGCTCCTGCAAGTTATCCTCTGAGATGCATATGCATGCTGTCGCTTAAGAGAAAAGAATGTTGGGCAAAAGATATTGCTTAGTGGTTAAGAGAGACTGTGGCTCTTGCAGGTGACCCAAGTTGGGTTCCTAGTACCCACATGGGACCCTCACAGCTCTCTGTAACTCCAGCTCCAGAATATCCGACGCCCTCTTCTGGCTTCTGGGGGCACTGCACTCACATGCAAAGACACAAACACATGAAGAAGAAAAGAAGATCATAGATGTATATGTTTGTTAAGAGTCATTTTATTACACATTTTTATTTTTGTGTGTATGAGGTATGTATGTACGTGTGTGTAAGTGGAAGATAGCCTAGTGGTTAAGAGCATGTATGCTTTTGTAGAGAGGTTTCAGGCACATACTTCGGGTGGCTCACAACTGCCTGTGACACCCCCAGGAGATCTAGCATTCTCTTCTGGCCACCTTGGGTACTGCACTCGTGTGCAAAATTCACACTCTCTCACACACATATACTCATAATTAAAAATAAAAATTAAACCTTTAAAAACAAGCTGGACTTAGTGGCATGCTTATAATCCCATCTGGAGAAGTGGAGACAGGGGTTCACCAGCCAGGCAGCTGAGACTACATGACAAGTTCTAGGCAAATGAGTGGCTCTGTCTCAAATTCAAGGTAGATGTTGTCTAAGGAATTGTCCTCTGACCTCCACATATGTGTGTGCCTGCGCATGAACACACGAACACATTCTCATAAAAAAGATTCAGAGACAAAACAGAAAACCAAAACCAAATAAACCCTTAGACTTTTCCTGCCAGGCCGTCTGTCTGGAGTGGCAGTCTGAGCCAACACACATTAATTAGCCGAGTAACATCTGTGAAGCTGTCAGGAGGGCCACTCGCTGAGTTTAGCCATGAGGTGAAATTCTAGAGAGTTTGGTACATAACATCAGAAGTCACCGTTTTCTCATTTGTATTTAATTGGTTATGAGTGCACGTGGGAAGTGTGCATGCTGGCACACTTGTGCCGCCGTACTTGTGTGGAGCTCAGAGAATAGATCACACCAGTTGCTTCTCTCCTCCCTTCATTAAGTGGATCCTGGGGTTGAACTCAGGTCATCAAACTTAGCCACAAGTGCCTTTAGCAGCCGAGCCAACTCGCTGGCCCAAATACCCACATTCTTATGCTCGAAAGATATAATTCTGGGACTGGAGAGATGACTTGGTGGTTAAGAGTGCTGGCTGCTCTTGCAGAGGTCCTGAGTTCAATTCCCAACAACCAAAGGGTGGCTCACAACCTTCTGCAATGAGATCTGGTGCCTTCTTCTGGCTTGCAGGGATACATGCAGGCAATAGAACCCTACCTAAGACAGGCGGAGGAATAGAGCTGGGCTCAAACAAGCCCGTGAGCACGCATGCCTTTGTTTCTCTCTGCTCTTGATTGTGGGTGTGTTGTGACCAGCTGTTCTAAGTTCCTGTCTTGACGTCCCCACCGTAGTGGACTGTGCCTCAAGCTGGAAATGGAAGTAAGCCCCCTTTCCCTCTAAGTGTGGTTTTGTTTGTTTGTTTGCTTGTTTGTTTTGTCAGAGTGTTTTACCCCAGCAGCAGAAATGACTCTAAATCAGAAGTTTAGCCTGCCAACTTGTAAAACAGGGAGAAGCTTCCCCTGAACAACTTGTCAAAGAAGGAGCTTGGCTGGGCTTTGAGACAGAGCTCTTGAGAGGACCCAAGTTCAGTTCCCAGCATCCATGCATGGTGGCTTCTATGGATCTGACGCCCTCTTCTGCCATCAACAGGTACTGCACCCACATGCACATACCCACAAACAGAAACATACATATGCACACTTTTTAAAAGTAAGAATAGATTCCAGGTAAATAGCCTGATCAACTAGGTCAGATTCCTCAGATGCTTAATTTTGGTCAAGAAGCTAGGCTTCAGGCTTAGGTCCATGCCTGCCCCTGTCTCCTCCTTGTAGGATCATAGCAGACCACGTGTAAAGACCATACAATGAGGGGTGAATAAACAACGTGTTCAGAAATGTACCAGACAAGGGAGGAAACTAAAACCAAAATAATACAGGGTTAGAGGCCAAACCAGCCTGAGCCACAAAGACATCAGCAAAGAGTAGGCTGGTTCTGGTTTGTGCTAGCCCTTCCTAACGTAGGGGAGCTTGGGCAGAAGCAAGCACCCTTCCCACTCACTGGGCTGGCTGTTTCCTCAAAGTATTGGGCTCCTGGCAGTGCTTTCTAATAGGGACATAGCGCAGACATGTTCACACTGGTCCAACAGATGACAGACTGGGGAAATGGGTGAAGCAAGTGTTTGTGGGGGCTGTCAGCTGTCTTGTGAACATATAACAGACCCTGTGCTGAGAGCCCAGGTAATGGAGTCAACCTGTGGCCCTCGTTATCCTCCTGAGGACTGACGAAACGCCACAGCTGGATCTACCCCCTCCTCACCTTCTGGCCTCTGTCTCATGGGTGTCTATAAAGTTTAAGATTGCCAAAGCTGTCATGAGAGGGATTACGTCTACCCCGGTTTGGCTAAACCATATATAGATCCACTGGGCCTGAGTGTCAGGTAAGAAGCTTGGTTCTCTGGGGCAGGGACAAGAATAACCGTGTGACCAGAGCAGAGGACAAGGTCTGGTAGTGAGGGTGGGTTCAGCAGATATGCTTGTTCCTGGGGGGCCATGTAGGGATGTGGCTGTGCCCTGAGTGACAAGGAGCCAGGGTGGGTTCTGGTAGGGTGTATCTGTGTGTTCTGTATGTGTGCCTGTGCGTGTGCATGGGTGTATGCACATGTGTGCACGAACGTGTGTTGTATGTGTGCTCTGTGCATGTGCACACATGCATGTGTGCATGTGTGTGCGTGTGTGTATGTGTGTGAAGCTCAGACTGGTTTCCAACTCACTCTGAAGCCAAAGCTGGCCTTGAACTCCTGATCCTCCTGCCCCCACCTTCTAAGCGCTAGGGGATTGCCGGCCTGGTAGGCAGGGGAGGACTGACAACCAAAAATGAGCGTGGAAGCCAGAGGGCCAGGTGGGGCAACACCTTGGGAGATGGTAGGAGCAAATGAGGAGGTACGAGGGGGGGGCACAAATGCCGGGACTCCGGAGTGTGTGACTGGGGTGTACGTGTGGGAAGGAGGGTCCAGCTCCACCTGGGTCCCCTTTTTATGGCACTTGAGAGAAAGTCTGTGATCTTTTTTAGAAAAATATTTTATTTATTTATTTATTTAGCGTGTGTATGAATGTTTTGTCTGCATGTATATCTGTTTGTCACATGTGTGCCTGGTGTTTGTGGAGGTCAGAAGAGGGCATCAGATCCCCTAGAACTGGAGTCACAGGTGGTCGTGAGCACCATGTGAGTGCTGGGAACTGAACCCAAACCACTGAGCTATCTCTTCAGGCTGTGATCTTCCTTTCTTGACAGACACATCAGTCGCTCTTAGGTAAGTAGAACCCTGACCAATGGTCTTCAAAAGAAACTGCCCCCTAGGCTTGGAGTCAAGCCCTCCTGGGGAGGCGGGGAAGGGGGGCGGGGGGGGGGCGGGGGGGGCGGGACGGGACGGGTCGGGGACGGACAGAGAGACAGAGAGTAAAACGGCGCGGGGCTGACTCCCGAATGTAATGTGACCACAGGATCCTGAGGCCCTACTGTGATCCCCACCACAGTCAGGACTGTAGGCTTGGGGCGGTCCTGAGTGGCCCTGGTCCGGGTGAGGTGGACAGTTCCCCAGCTCACACGGAAACGCAGGTCAGGACGGGCGGGGGATGGGCTGGGAAGTGTGGTTTGCACGAATGTGTAGGAAAGGCTCCCCTAGTCGCTCTAATTCGGTCTCCACCTCTCTGCCCCCTCCCATCACCACCGGGAGCCCGCCTCCCGAATCCCCTCTCCTCCTCTCAGCAGCAGCCCCGGCAACCCCTCCCTTCCCGCTCCTCCCTCTCCATCCCACGTTTTCCAGCCCGGCCCTTAAAGTGGGGGCCTTCGGGGCTGGCTGGTGTTGTGGCGGTGACCTGTGGCCACCCTGCAGCCGCACACCCTCGAGCCATGTCCTGGGCCGCTCTGCTCGGCCTCCTGGCCGCGCTACTGCTGTTGCTGTTGCTGCTGAGCCGCCGGCGCGCGCGGTGAGTGTCCCCGGGACCCGCCAGGGTGGGGAAGAGAAACCAGGTGAGGCCGAGGGTTGGAGGTGTGAGGCGGGGACTGAGTTGCGGTTACCCACGCTGCAACCTCCACGGTGTCCCGTGCCCACTTATCTCTAGACCCACTGTAGCTCAACCCGGATGGGAATGCTGAGGCTGGACTCGAGGGTCTGCTAGGGACACACTGATCCTGAGGGCTTCCCACTCATGGAAGACGGTCCCATGATTCACGACATATGCACCAGAGGAGAAACTGAGGCCCTCCAGTCCCACAGACTGGGTAAGGTCGAACCAGATCCTTGGTCCTTAAAGTTTAGTGCCCTTGGAGACACTGCCTTTTGGAGAAAAACTAAACACTTCTCTTCATGCGGGAGAGTTCAGCTGGCAGAAGTCTTTGTGTAAGGTATTTTAAAGTTAATTTGAATCGCTCAGGACCAGAATACATTTGACTTAAACCAAGGGCCCTCTTCGTCTGACTCTCCTCCTTTCTCCAGGCCTTTCCTGTTGCTCAGTTTGGGAGGAACTTTTCAGATTTTTTTTAAAGAAAAGAAAAGAAAAAAAAAACCCCGCAAAAATAAAAACAAACAAACAAACAAACAAACAAAGCCCAGCCACATACACACTATTTCAGACCAGTTTGGAAGTTAGGGAGAAGTGGCAAGTGTTATCGCACTTCCTTCGGCTACTGCTGCAGCAGCTCAGGGCGCACATCCGACATTCTTGTGGGATGTTTGTTTAAAAGCCAGCCCAGGTCCACGGCTGGCTGGTCGCTGAGTTTCAGACTGTGGGAGTCCATCAGCCTTCTCAGTCAGCTGCCAGGGTCGCCTGGAGTAGTCCCACCCGGCATCCGCAGCTGGTTCAGCAATTGCTCCCTCCACGGGCTCCAGCTCTGGTGTCACAGGGCAGCTCTCCCGTGTTTACATCGCAGCGCCTTAAAATCCCAGAAACACTGAGAACCTCACATTGCAGACAGTGTGTGAGCTGAGATTTCCAACAGTCAGCTCATTCCAGGCACTTTTCCAGGTGAAATTTAAACTATGTGTTTGCTTATCTGCCCCAAAAGGAGGAAAGGAAAATTCAAAAGCCGTTTTTGTAAGGAATAGCTGGGTGTCCTCAGCTGCCGGCTCGGTCTGCACCAGATCTGTCTGTGGTTTCAGCTTCCAGAGTTTCTTTCTTCACACCAGATGTTAGACATCTGTTCATGCTTCCGTCCCGGTCACCTGTGCGCCTCTTTAGCCTTTCTGTCCATGTTTTTGTCTGTGGACTTTTTGGTTGTTGTGAGAGCTTTCTTTTTAAACAAATTACTTTTACTTGTTTATTTGTGTGTGTGCGCGTGCGTGCGTGTGCGTGTGTGTGTGTGTGTGTGCGCATGTGCATGAGCACGCACACCACAACACACATGTGGAGGTCAGAGGATAAGTTGCAGGCAACAGTTCTCTCACTGTGTGGGTCCTGGGGATCCAACTCAGGTCAGTAGACTTGGTGGTAATCACCTTTACCCACGGAGCCATCTCGCTGATCCTGTTTCTATAGCTTTCCGCGTCTCATGTATGGCGCTCTGGTTTGCCTGCAGGGGTGTGTGACCTGTGCTATGCCTTGGGGCAGGTAGAACATCTAGGAAGGGTGGATATCCAGGTTCTGGCCATTCTCCCAGCAGGAAGTCCCCAGCCTGTGGGGCAAGTGAGTGTCCTCTGCCCCAGTTCTGTGGTTAAAGTGATGATGATGATGATGATGATGATGATGATGATGATGATGATGACGACGACGATGATGGTGGTGGTGATGATGATGATGATGATGGTGGTGATGGTGATGATGGTGATGATGATGATGATGGTGATGATGACGATGATGATGACGATGATGACAGTGTCCTGGGGTGGGGGTGGGGGATGCAACCTTCCAGCGGTGCAGATTCTTGTGGTCTGACGATTTGAAAGCTCCTTTATCTGTGGTTTTTACGCCTCTGGGCGTTAGCAAAGATTCTTAGTGCGGCACAAAGAACCATGGGAAGAAAGCAGAAGGAACCCAGCAGGGCAATTTCTTTTTCCAAAAGGGCTGCACCATGACCCAAGCCGGGCTCACAATAGCTTGTCTAGCACCTGGCCATCTGTCTTTTGGTTCCAACCGTCTGTCCATTTCCAAGACACAGCCCTTGCGTGCTGTAAATTCACATGAGCCTCCCAGGTCTGGCCACCTCAGTCATTTCCTGATGATGTGTTACTGGTGCTGGAAGTTCATGGCTGGGAAAACTCTAGGTCCCCTCTGAAAACCAGTTAAGAACATCCTACAAAACAGTGTGTCAAATCCACCATGGTGAACTGGTTTCACTTCCTTAGTTTGACATAAAATGCGTTGACCTTCTCACTGGCAATAGAGCCAATGTTGGCATCTCTCTGGCGCTCCCATTTCCACGACCACATCAGACATCTAGCAAGGCGAAGAACCAAAACCAGAGAAGGATTGGGACCTGGGACCGAATGCCTGTGGTATAGGAAATTCTATGGGTGCAGTGCCCCCCTCAAGGACTCAGTGGTACCAGGAAACTTTAGGGGTGCTGCCATCTTGGCTCATGTCATGTGGTTGGTTCACGGTCTTCACCATCTTGATGTTGTCACCGGTCAAGACGGCAACCAAGTCACACTGTTGCCTCCATCTTGATGAGGTCACCAGACAAGATGGGAACAAGCCACAGGGTTACTTTGTGTTTCCTATGGGCTCAGCTCTATGGTGAAATGAGCCCACCCACACTGGACACACATTCTTGTGGGATCTGTGTAGTTCATGGGCTCAGTGTGGACTGTCACCCTCTTAATTTTTCAAATGAGCATCTGAGTCTGATTAGCATTAGGATAGAGCAGTGGAAGTTACCAGCAAACTGAAGAAGCAGAGGAAGGAATTCTGTTGTCCCAGTCCAAGGAGGGAGTCCCTGTAGCTTACCACAAATTATACTGGGAGACAAACAACAGCGTCCAGGTGTTTTAATGTCCCCTGGGTTCCAAGGTACAGGCTCTTGCTGGGCTGGGAGTCCATCAAGGAAATGGAGCGAAAGGGGAGCATGCCCAGTGCCTGTAGGGAGTACCATTTCTCGGGAAGCCTAGGAAGAAACTGGGCTGGAAAAAGTGACCTTAGTGCCATTCTATCACACCTGAGCATGGCACGGCCTGGGACTGGCAAGGGTTGGTTTTCTTTTTTTTTTTTTTTTAATGTGTCTCTGTGTTTTCCTCACATGCATGTCTGTGTGCCATGTATGTGTCTGGTGTCTAGAGAGGCCAGAAGGGGGCACCAGATCCCCTGGAACTACAGTTCCAGGTGGTTGTGAGCCATTATGTGAGTGCTGAGAACTGAACCTGGGTCCTTTGAAAGCAACAAGCGCTCTTAACCACTGAGCTGTCTCTTTAGCCGGCATTGGCAGGAATTTAAGTCATTAAGAAACCAACTTGTTAAAATAGTTAATCCTGATTTAAAACCGTGGCAGCTGTGTGTGGTGTTTTTACCCAGTCAGAAAAGCAGCTGCCTGGAACCATGTGGTCCCAGACAGTGTTGGACCTGACCACACTGTCTCTTGTGGATGTCTCTTGTCCCTTTCTCCAAAGTCTCCTGGGCTCTCGGAGGGAACTGGTCGGAAAGGGAAAGACGGGACCCACGCCCAGAAAGGGGAGATAGGAAATCACACGTAGAGTTTTGAGGTCTCTTGCATTGTTCAGTCTCTCCTTTGGTGGAAAAGGAAGAGAACGTTGAATGGGAGCCTGTGGGCAGGCCAGAGGAGTTGGTTCCTTCATCTGCAGGAATCTATTTCCTTTCTTTTTCTTTTATATTTTGACCTGATTATTTTACATTCCAATCCTTAGAGATCAAGCCCCGATTTTTGTATCAAAATACAGAGTCCATTCATATAATATTTTCCTGGGCCCTTTCCTGAACTGCTGGAAATTTTCCATTCTGGTATTGTTACTGATCAGAAAGAGTTTCGTTTGTCCCAGCCCCTGTGGGCCCCAGCAATGGGCCATGGGATGTGTCTCCCCCAAGCGAAAGGATCCAGGTGGATTTGAAATCCGGGATGAACCTTAAAATCGTCGGAAGAGAATAACCTTGATGCCGCACAAAGGAACGCACCAACAATGTCAAAGTAACTAGGCAAGGGAGTTTCTTTTTTGTAAAAAGTGTGTGCCGTGACCCAAACCGGGCTAGCGGGCATGCCAGGGCAAGGTCACTTCGTGTCTGTCTTAGCGCACGTCGTGACTGTGTTTCTCCATGGCTGGGGTCCAGTTTCTCAGTCTGTCTTTTAGCGTCCTGTGGTTTTAAGTGAATCTACGCAAAGGAAATGAGGGACTGGTGGGGTAGATCAGCTGCGCCAGTCACTGAGTTCTGGGGATGATGTGGCCTCAGCCAGGGGAGGAGATGAAAAGATGTCCATAAACATTTTACAAGGTGGGGGAGATTTATGGAATATTGGCCCTTGGTGGCCTAGCCAATTTTTTAAATAGAAAAAACCAAACCGAAAACATTCCTCATATGGCACCTGGGAAAGTAATTGAGAAGGCTTGGGAAGACATGGGCGTGGGAGATCCTGGCCACTGGGGCTGACAGTAGGACCCTGCTCATCTGGCCTAAAAGCACTCTGGTTATTCCTATTAAAATATATATATTTAATTTTATGTGTGTGAGTTTTTGGCTTAAATGTATGTGTGTAAACCACATGCATGTAGTTCTCAGAAAAGATCCTCTGGAACTGGAGTTATAGATGGCTGTGAGCCCTTCGGTGTGGGTGCCGGGAATGGAATCTGGGACCTCTGAAAGAGTCACCTGTGATTGTAACCACTGAGCCATCTCTCCAGCTTTGGTTACCCTCTTTGTAGAGGGGGACACAGAGGCTCAGAGAAGCCCTATAACCTGTTGGAGTTCTGCCCTGATTAAGACTCTGGGCTGCAGGCCTTTTTCATTCCCTGGAACGACTCCTTTCATTTTCCCTCTGTTGCTTCGCT